GATACTGGCCTGTGGCAGTGTGAGAAGATATGCCAAGGATTTCCCCAGACCTTTAATAGAGGCCAAAAAAAAAGTGAATGTAAAGGTCTGCACAAAGCTAAAGTGCTTGCAATAAAATTTAAGGACAGGAAGGATGTTCACATGCTAACAACCATCCATAACGAGGGCATGTCAGACGTCACTGTCCGAGGCAGGGTACAGACAAAACCGGTGTGCATCAGGGCTTATAACAGGCACATGGGGGGTGTTGATTTGGCTGATCAGCTGATGCAGCCATATCTTATCTTAAGAAAGACAAAAGCCTGGTATAAAAAGGTGGCTATCTACCTGATGCAAGTAGCAACACATAATTATTTTTTACTCTTTAAAAAAATGAATTCAGAAAGAACCACCTTTCTCCAATTTTAGTTCAAGCTGATTTCCACAATAATTTATGGAGATGGTCAAGTTCCAACAACGGTGCCAAAGGAGTCCAGACATTTTATTTTTAAGATACCGCCAACTGCAAAAAAAAAACAAATCCCCTGAAATGTTGCTGGGTCTGTTATAAAAAAGGAAAAGGACACTGTTTTTTTTTCTTTTGAAAACAGCAAATTTTAGTTAGTCAGTTTCCTTCCCCCCAAATCTCCAATTAGATTCTTTTTGCAGGAGTTAGTTTAGAGAATGCTGCTAAAGGTGCATTTGATACCTGCACATTTGGTTAAAAAAGTTTTATGGTAGTAACATATAACTGGCTGGCCAAAACCAGATGACGTGTGCATAAAAAGCAGAATTAAAAAATTACCACCATGCACGTTCTCTGAAATTTGTTTAGCACAATGGTTGGGGGAAGGATGTGAAAACACCTCATATACAATACTCTGGAATGTCTACTTTATAAAAATATAAACTTTCATGATGTTAACATTAACGGGGGGATGCAAAAATATGCCAAACTGAAGATAGGCCAAACATACCTATATATCAAGTTGAAAAACTGATATGTACAAGTCTTGAATGTGGCCTTTTAGCCCCCAAACAACCCAGCAAACCTATGCATGGGTGATGTCACTGTACTCAGGAGATGTTGCTGAACACATATTGGGGTGTTGTTTGGCAGTGATACATAACAGGATCTGTTAATTCATGCCTAAAGTACAATGTATGTGTAAAAAAACATGAAGAAAATTACTACCCAAAAGTTTGCCAAAGGCTGGTGGTAGAATTATTGCATGAAAAGTATTAAACTACCACCATTTAAAATACCCTGAGTTGTCTACTTTTCAAAAATATATGGTTTGATGGGGGTAAAATACATTGGCCCAAATAGGACAGGGGCGCTGGTTTACTACATGTCAAAATTCCAAGTTGAAAAATGGATATGCGCACCTGCCAAATGTGGCCTTTTAGCCCCCAAACAATCCGACAAGCCTATGCATGGGTGGTATCACTGTACTCAGGAGATGTTGCTGAACACATATTGGCGTGTTGTTTGGCAGTGACACATAACACGATTTGTTAATTCATGCCTAAATTACAATGTGTGTGAAAAAAAACACACAAAAAATGACTACCTAAATGTTTGACAATGTCTGGTGGTAGAATTAGTGCATGGAAAGTGTTAAAAAACCACCATTTGAAATACCCTAGGGTGTCTACTTTCCAAAAATATATGGTTTGGTGGGGGTAAAATACATTGGCCGGCCTTACAAATGTCCCAAATAGGACATGTGCGCAGGTTGACTACATGTCAAAATTCCAAGTTGAAAAATGGATATGCACACCTGCCAAATGTGGCCTTTTAGCCCCCAAACAATCCGACAAGCCTATGCATGGGTGGTATCACTGTACTCAGGAGATGTTGCTGAACACATATTGGCCTGTTGTTTGGCAGTGACACATAACACGATTTGTTAATTCATGCCTAAAGTACAATGTGTGTGAAAAAAAACACACAAAAAATGACTACCTAAATGTTTGACAATGTCTGGTGGTAGAATTAGTGCATGGAAAGTGTTAAAAAACCACCATTTGAAATACCCTAGGGTGTCTACTTTCCAAAAATATATGGTTTGGTGGGGGTAAAATACATTGGCCGGCCTTACAAATGTCCCAAATAGGACATGTGCGCAGGTTGACTACATGTCAAAATTCCAAGTTGAAAAATGGATATGCGCACCTGCCAAATGTGGCCTTTTAGCCCCCAAACAATCCGACAAGCCTATGCATGGGTGGTATCACTGTACTCAGGAGATGTTGCTGAACACATATTGGCGTGTTGTTTGGCAGTGACACATAACACGATTTGTTAATTCATGCCTAAAGTACAATGTGTGTGAAAAAAAACACACAAAAAATGACTACCTAAATGTTTGACAATGTCTGGTGGTAGAATTAGTGCATGGAAAGTGTTAAAAAACCACCATTTGAAATACCCTAGGGTGTCTACTTTCCAAAAATATATGGTTTGGTGGGGGTAAAATACATTGGCCGGCCTTACAAATGTCCCAAATAGGACATGTGCGCAGGTTGACTACATGTCAAAATTCCAAGTTGAAAAATGGATATGCGCACCTGCCAAATGTGGCCTTTTAGCCCCCAAACAATCCGACAAGCCTATGCATGGGTGGTATCACTGTACTCAGGAGATGTTGCTGAACACATATTGGTGTGTTGTTTGGCAGTGACACATAACACGATTTGTTAATTCATGCCTAAAGTACAATGTGTGTGAAAAAAAACACACAAAAAATGACTACCTAAATGTTTGACAATGTCTGGTGGTAGAATTAGTGCATGGAAAGTGTTAAAAAACCACCATTTGAAATACCCTAGGGTGTCTACTTTCCAAAAATATATGGTTTGGTGGGGGTAAAATACATTGGCCGGCCTTACAAATGTCCCAAATAGGACATGTGCGCAGGTTGACTACATGTCAAAATTCCAAGTTGAAAAATGGATATGCGCACCTGCCAAATGTGGCCTTTTAGCCCCCAAACAATCCGACAAGCCTATGCATGGGTGGTATCACTGTACTCAGGAGATGTTGCTGAACACATATTGGGGTGTTGTTTGGCAGTGACACATAACACGATTGTTAATTCATGCCTAAAGTACAATGTGTGTGAAAAAAAACACACAAAAAATGACTACCTAAATGTTTGACAATGTCTGGTGGTAGAATTAGTGCATGGAAAGTGTTAAAAAAAAAACACCATTTGAAATACCCTAGGGTGTCTACTTTCCAAAAATATATGGTTTGGTGGGGGTAAAATACATTGGCCGGCCTTACAAATGTCCCAAATAGGACATGTGCGCAGGTTGACTACATGTCAAAATTCCAAGTTGAAAAATGGATATGCGCACCTGCCAAATGTGGCCTTTTAGCCCCCAAACAATCCGACAAGCCTATGCATGGGTGGTATCACTGTACTCAGGAGATGTTGCTGAACACATATTGGCATGTTGTTTGGCAGTGACACATAACACGATTTGTTAATTCATGCCTAAAGTACAATGTGTGTGAAAAAAACACACAAAAAATGACTACCTAAATGTTTGACAAAGTCTGGTGGTAGAATTAGTGCATGGACAGTGTTAAAAAACCACCATTTGAAATACCCTAGGGTGTCTACTTTCCAAAAATATATGGTTTGGTGGGGGTAAAATACATTGGCCAGCCTTACAAATGTCCCAAATAGGACATGTGCGCAGGTTGACTACATGTCAAAATTCCAAGTTGAAAAATGGATATGCGCACCTGCCAAATGTGGCCTTTTAGCCCCCAAACAATCCGACAAGCCTATGCATGGGTGGTATCACTGTACTCGGGAGATGTTGCTGAACATATATTAGTGTGTTTTTTTGGCAGCAAGACATAACAGGATCTGTAAGTTTATACCTGAATTGCAATGTATGTGAAAAAAAAAAAAAACAACTATCTATGCAAAGTTTGGCAAAGACTTGTGGTAAAATGGCTGCATAGAAAGTGTCAAAATATCCTTAGATGAATACCCTGGGTTGTCTACTTTAAAAAAAATATATACATGTGGAGTGTTTTCCAGAGATTTATGACAGATAATAGTGTTACAATGTCACTATTGATACATTTAAAAAATTTTGTTTTGAAACCGCCATATCCTACTTGTACCTATAGCCCTATAACTTGCAAAAAAAAGCAAAAAAGCATGTAAACACTGGGTATTTTTAAACTCAGGACAAAATTTTGAATCTATTTAGCTGTTTTTTTCATTCGCTTTTGTAGCTGAGTAAAAGATTTTTCAAGTAAAAGTCAAAAAACATGTATTTTTTTCAATTTTTCATCATATTTTTTATTTTTTTTAAATTAAAATACATGAGATTATATAAATAATGGTATGTAAAGAAAGCCCCTTTTGTCCTGAAAAAAACAATATATAATTTGTATGGGAACAGTAAATGAGAGAGCGGAAAATAACAGCTAAACACAAACACCAGAAAAGTGTAAAAATATTCCTGGTTGCAAATGTACAACATCGCAAAAACAGTCCAGTCCTTAAGGGGTTAAACTCTCTTTACTAACTCCACATAGCAGTAAAGAAAAGTGAAAACAATAACCAATCAAAATGCAAAAGGAAGTATAGTGTTCACAGTGATGAGGCTCCTCCCCCTCTTTCTTTACTGCTCCATCAGCAGACTGGTCAGAGTTTTGGACTCTTCCTCCTTTATATTGCTTTTTATGCTAATTTAATATATATTTCCACTTATGTATATTTTGCCTACTGTATATTTTTCCTTATATTACCCTTCTATCATCCTGTAAGGGGTTTGTTATTTCATTTCCACGTTATTTGCTTTTATTTCCTCAGGGATTCCTTCCTCTGCACTTTCCTTCTGCCCCCTCCTCTCTGGGGCTTAACTGTTTTTCCCTCACTTTCTGTGTGTTATTACCGCGGCGGTTTTCATATCGACCCGCCGGTCTCCGCCGATGGATCGCTATATTTACTGTTACTGGGGGTAACGTTCACCCGCCATTCCCTTACCTTGTGGCTTCTCGCCCACATTCATAAGAGCCGGCGCGCACGGATATCTTTCCCGGCGCATGCGGCGGCCATCTTGGATCTCGCGTCTTGCGAGATCTGCGGCCGCCATTTTCAGAGCTCCACGATCTCGGTTCAGCCGGCCACTGCTTCTCCGCTCCCCGGTCACACCATCACCTCCATAGGCATCTCCTACACGTCCAGACAGGAGTCAAAAGGTCAGTGAGATAGCAGTCTGTAGCTTGTACTATAGGGCTTACCACCCTGTGCATTTGGGGTGAGGCCCCTGATATTACTGCTGCTTTCGAGGTGTGATTTATACATCCTCTGTATACCTGGGTGAGGCCCAGTAAAATCCCAATAATACCCTGCTGGGGTAACAGGTACTGCTGGTACCACGTGCACTAAAAGTTTCACCACCCTGCTGGGGTGGACGAGTGGCAAGCTGTGGATTCGGACTTGCAGGAAGATGATTGGGGCTCAGATGCCGGATCCCGTACGGGTTTCCTCGTCCTTCGCTTCCCACCAATTTCTCAGATTTCGGTGGCAAGGTCTACCCTGGCAATTCACATGCCTCCCCTTCGGCCTCAGCTCTGCCCCGTGGTGCTTCACCAAGTTGCTGAAGCCAGTAGTCGCACATCTACGACTACCGTCATCAAAGATCACAGCCATCAGAAAGGAATTACGCAGGGTCATTCGCTGCCGTGCCATTCCACTCCGCAACCAGGCTCGGATAGTAGGCCTTCTATCCGCATCCATCCATGCCATCTTCCAAGGACCCCTCCACTACAGGGCGATGCAACTCCTAAAAGCCTTCTTTCTTCGCCAGAACCCCTCCTATGATCAAACGATTCCGGTGATGGAAGAGGTCAAGGAGGAACTCCTGCTGGTGGCTGGACATCATGGAGGCATGGAACGGCCAGGCCATCTTCGGGAACATGCCCGACGTAGTTCTGGAGTTGGACGCCAGCCTCTGGGGCGCGACGGGCGAAGGCAGATCAACATGAGGCGCCTGGACATCTCAAGACATTGACCTACACATAAATTGTCTGGAACTCCTGGCAGGATCAATCGCGATCCGCAGCCTAGCGAGGGACAGATCGAACTGCTGCATTCTCCTCCGGATGGACAATTTCTCCGCGGTCTGCTACATCAACCACCTGGGTGGAGCCCGATCACGGTTCCTATCAGAGATAACGAAGGAGATCTTCGACTTTTGCCTGCCCCGAAAAATCTCCCTCAAGGCAGAATACCTCCCGGGAGAGACGAATCTGATGGCAGACTGGTTCTCACGTCACTGGCGTACGCCTTTCCCCCAGTCGCCATGATAGTGAGGACTATTCAATACCTCAAGAACCAACCCGTGTTTCTTCTCCTCATCGCACCCCTATGGCGGGGCCAACCCTGGTTCCCGGATCTCCTAGCATTGTTCCACACAGATCGTCTGATCATACCATCCTATTTGAGGCTTCTCACGGATCCTAAAGGGAACCCCCCATTCTCTCATCCTGGAAGACTGTCTTGTCCTAGTGGCTTGGACTCTTTCCTTGGTGCCTGGCAGACCAATGACTTATCGCAGACAGCTAGAGACCTCATATGGGATTCCTGGGCACCTGGAACCAGACGATGTTACCTATCAGCTTGGAATTCCTGGTCCTCTTGGTGCAGTGAATGGAACCTCGATCCGTTTACTGCACCTATAACTGCCATTCTGAATTTTCTTTCTCACCTTTTCGCCACGGGTCGCTCCTACCGGTCACTCAACGGCGTGCGTTCCACGATTTCGGCAGCTCCTGAAGGGCATTCGATTACAGAGACCACCGGGACCCAAATACTCACGTCTATGGGACGTCGAGGTCGTCCTACAGTTTCTGAGAGACTGGCCAATGAACAACAGACTCTCTCTCCGACAACTCTCAGCAAAATTGACTCTCCTACTTTGCCTCGTTTCGCTCCGTCAGGTTTCAGACGTACGGGCCTTTGACGCTTTTTCGGTCTCTCCGGAGGGAGTTACCTTTCGAGTATCGCGTAGTACGAAATCAGACTCTACGTTGGTCTTCTACCCTTTCTTCGCTACCTATCCACAACTCTGCGTTGTTTCTATTCTGCGTCGGTATGTGGAGATCACTTCCCCACTTCAGGTCTCTACCTCGGGACTGTTGGTGTCCTACGTTAGACCACATGTTCCCGTCTCGGCTATCACACTCGCCAGATTGATAAAATGGATTCTATCACTGGCGGGCGTGGACGAAGCTTTCGGGGCCCACTCCGTTCGCAGGACGGAGGCTTCTTCGGCCTTCACGGCGGGCGCTTCACTGGCAGATATCCTCCATTCCGCAAACTGGTCGCGATAATCTACCTTTTGGACATTCTACTTCCGCCCAAATTTGGTTGCAGCCATGTCTCTTCTGCATCAGCGTTAAAAATGCAAAATAAGAAACCTCCTGTCATGTGGTAAAATTGAAGATTATCCTAGCGTTAGTGTACCTATAATCTTAATTTTAGTAATGACAGGAGGCGAGTATTTTCCCACCCTAGGGAAGAGAGGACTCACGTAAGTATATTTACCTTTCGGTTTTGTTTTATCTTTATATCTAGATATCGTGCTCCTCCTAGGTTTTGGGATATGTTCTGATTATGTCCGCTTATACATTTTAATTGTTGTTCGTAGTCAGCCCTGGCTAGTCTATAGAGAGACATCTACTGCAATTTAGTGTTGGCTTATTACCATTTCTTCAACCAGTTTAAAGACCGGTGCCTAACCTGTTTCACCTTCTCTTTTCAGCGTAAGTTCGTGAGGTTAAAGTTCGTTTTCAGGATGGACACTGTTGAATCAGCCTTCATCCCATGAGGTTTCGTTAATCGGAGAGTCACCCGTTGGTGCATGTTACAGGACGTTTTGACTTTAGAACTTTTATCCATTTATGATGTCGCTTCCGAAAGAGGGGGATGAGCCTCATCACTATGAACACTGTACTTCCTATTGCATTTTGATTGGTTATTATTTTCACTTTTCTTTACTGCTATGTGGCGTTAGTAAAGAGAGTTTAATGCAAAATACTCGCCTCCTGTCATTACTAAAATTAAGATTATAGGTACACTAACGCTAGCATAATCTTCAATTGTGATCTTTCTCTGTCCCTCTCTCTCTCCCTCACTCTCTTATTTTATATATACTTTTCCCATATGTAACTTAAAGATACACCCTGCTCAAATACATATATTTTTTTAAATCACTGTATGGTAGATATAACTACAATAGTGATGTCCTGAACGGTTCACTGGCGAATAGTTCCCGGCGAACATCGCTTGTTCGCGTTCGTCACGGATGGCGAACATATGCGCTGTTCGGTCCGCCCCCTATTCGTCATCATTGAGTAAAATTTGACCCTGTATCTTACAGTCAGCAGACACATTCCAGCCAATCAGCAGCAGACCCTCCCTCCCAGACCCTCCCACCTCCTGGACAGTATCCATTTTACATTCATTGTGAAGCTGCATTCTTAGTGAGAGGAGGGACAGTGTAGCTGCTGCTGATTTGATAGGGAAATTGATAGCTAGGCTAGTGTATTCAGTGTCCACTACAGTCCTGAAGGACTCATCTGATCTCTGCTGTAAGGACAGCACCCCAAAAAGCCCTTTTTAGGGCTAGAACATCAGTCTGCTTTTTTTTTTTCTGTGTAATGTAATTGCAGTTGCCTGCCTGCCAGCCTGTGTGTCAGGCTCACAGCATATACTGTGCCCACTTGCCCAGTGCCACCACTCACTCACTGGTGTCACAATAGCTTGCATTAAAAAAAAAAAACTTTTTGGACTGTAATATAATAGCAGTCAGTTTCCTTAACGAGTGTGCGTTTCAGGGCCTGCCCAGTGCCACCACTCACTCACTGGTGTCACAATAGCTTGCATTTAAAAAACAAAACAAAAACATTTTTGGACTGTAATATAATAGCAGTCAGTTTCCTTCACACGTGTGCATTTCAGGGCCTGCCAGGGCACAGTGTCACACCAGTGCAACTCATATCTGGTGTAACAGTAGTGTACATTTTAAAAAAAACAAAAAACATTTGACTGTAATAGATTAAATAGCAGTTAGTTGTCTGCAAGCGTGTGTGTCAGGCCTACAGCGTCTACTCTGCCAACTTCTGCCACTGCACAGTGCCACTCATATCTGTTGTCACAGTAGCTTGCACGTATAGTACCACTAATCGAAAAAAAAATGACAGGCAGAGGCAGGCCACCCCACAGGGGCCGTCATGGTCGTGGTGCTGTGATTCCCATTGGCTCTAGAATAATGCCCAGTGTTCAGAGGCCACGTACCCTGAACTCGAAAAGTTCTGAGGACATAGTTGACTGGCTAACACAGGACACCCAATCTTCTACAGCTTCCGCTCTGAACCTTGACGCACCATCCTCCTCCAGCTTAGCTTTGGCACCTCTCAAGTTACCACTCGCCCGCCTGCCGCCACCACCAACACTAGCACCACAGCAGCTTCACTTGGTATGTCAGAGGAGTTATTTACACATCAGTTGGAAGAAATGAGTGATGCGCAACCATTATTGCCAGAGGATGTAGATAACAGGGATATGTCTCAGTCAGGCAGCATTACACACATGGATGTACGGTGTGATGATGATGTTGTACCCGCTGCTGCTTCCTTTGCTGAGTTGTCAGATACAAGTGAAGCGGTTGATGATGACGATGCATGGATGTCACGTGGGTGCCCGCTAGAAGAGAAGAAGAACAGGGGGAAAGTTCAGATGGGGAGACAGAGAGGAGGAGGAGGAGACGAGTTGGAAGCAGGGGGAGGTCGTTGCAAGGAGCTAGTGGCACAGTCAGAAAGCATGCATCGGCACCGGGGGTCAGCCAGACAGCACGCCAATCAACGCATGCTGTTGCCACCACCAGAATGCCATCATTGCAGAGCTCAGCAGTGTGACATTTTTTTTTGTGTGTCTGCCTCTGACAACAGCGATGCCATTTGCAATCTGTGCCAAAAGAAACTGAGTCGTGGGAAGTCCAACACCCACCTAGGTACAACTGCTTTGCGAAGGCACATGATCGCACATCACAAACGCCTATCGGATCAACACATGAGTACAAGCAGCACACAAACTCAAAGCCGCCATCCTCCTCCTGGTCCAGCATCTTCAGCCACATTAACCACTGCTGTCCTCCTTGCCCCCTCTCA